ATCAAAACTTCTCTTTTGTGATTTTTTAGAAAACAAAATCACAATTACCTACCTACGTAAAAATAAAAGTCTTAAATATTTTTTGTATATTATATTGTTGGATTTAACAAATAAAATAACTATTTTTCAAACCATTGAAAATTCACAATAATACATTTAATATTGAAATTAGTTATTAAATTTTTGGAATTAATTGTCAATTTATTAACACAAAATTTTTTTTTTCAATAGATAAATTCGAATGCGAAATGTCAAAAAAATGAGTGCAACATGGCACCCTCTCATAGTTTTGGTTTTGAAGAACTTAAAATATTACATAAGACTGACAAATTGTGTATATAATATTACATAAATTTGATTTTTATAGTAAATAATTATCTAAATTAGAAGATTAAACACTTGTAGCAAATTATTGGACATACACAATGTTTCATAAAACTACAGGGACATTTTTTGGCACAAATCTCTAACTTGTATATCTTCATCAATATTCACTACGATTCCCTAAAAAATAATTTATTATCTTTTTATTGTATCAAATACATTTATAAAAAAAATATTGATCAGAGAAGTTGTAATATGATTTTGATTTACCTAGACATATGCATCATCTCAAGAAAGATGTTGAAATGTATATTTGTATTTATTTCAGTGGAACTTTGAATCGTATTGAGAGAATAATTGATGCTCTATTGTAATTTTTCTTATTTTCTTTAACGTTTTGCTATGATATTTTTTTTATCTTTAACATCGATTCATTGGTGAAGTGATTCTGTTTTTCTAGATTCACAATTTGTGGTGGATTAAAGTTTTTTCAAGCATCTTGGATAGAATTGTTATGTTCACTACAAATTGTATTAATTTCATTAAGGGGTAATTAGGAAATTGGTTTTAGAAGGTGTGAAAATTAAAAAAAATTATTTATGAATATCTCCAATCAGATTTTAACAATCTTAACAATCTTAAAATCATATCTTAATTTTGTTCACAGTATTTTTTGTGTGTGTTTGTTCATGTTAGGCATTTTTTTATCGAAACTTCTCTTTGTGATTTTTTAAAAAACAAAAACACAATTACCTATGTAAAAATAAAAGTCTTAAACATTTTTTGTATATTATATTGTTGGATTTAACAAATAAAATAATTATTTTTTAAATCATTAAAAATTTACAATAATACATTTAATATTGAAATTAGCCATTAAATTGTTAGAATTAATTGTCAAGTTATTAACATAAAATTTTCATTTTTCTTATTAATAGATAATTCAAATGGCAAAAAATGAGTGTCATATGACAACCTCTCGTAATTTTAGTTTTGAACAACCTTAAAATAATATACAAGATGTCCTCGTCGGTGCATTAGAAAACAAATACTCTAAACACGTATTTTTTTCGCCGGTCAAATATTAAGGGCAGGTTATTTAATTAAATTGAGAGAAATCAAGAAAGCGAACATACACGGAGAAGTTTTCAACGAAGACGTTACTTAGGGGATGAGTTGCAAACCACCTACAATGACAGATTAACACGTTTTTACCAAAATATTATTTCGTTCTAATCGAGATAATCTAAACTAAATGACTGATTATCGATGATGTAACTTTTTGTTTGAAAAAAATAGTTTGATAGTTAACGAAATGATTGCCATATATATATATATACAAATGCTAAATGACGTTTTGAGGGTATTTCATACTTTCATTTAAACTAACAATGTTAATTTTAATCGGTTAAAGTAGACTTTTTGCTAAGTTATCTTTTCACGTATGAATAATCAAATTATCGGAATTTATTACCGTCTCTCTAATAGAAAAGGTCATACATATATGCTACAAGAATCTCGTGACTTTATTTGGTGGATTTATTAATAACATTATATACCTATAATTGCGACATTAATGCATGTTTTTACTCATACTATTAAATCACCCACATGGGTTTTTCCCCAAAAGAAAAACTAATTACCTTTTAATGCACAACAAACTCACTTTTAATTTAGTAAGCAAAAATGAACTTTTATTTACTCTAGTTCTTTTTCCATTCCACTTAGATGTGAAGGAAAAGTAATTAATTCTTCAAAGCAATGATGAAAAGACCCAATCATAGCTAATCTTCAAAGTAATCTACACTATATGAAAGCTTCGTTTTAAAATTTTAAAAATCAATTTATAAAAATATATATGAACTTCGTATTCACCAAAAACAATGTAGCTATAAGCTAAAAAGAAAGTAGAATATACAAATTTTAAAAGCGCGTAGGCCTAATGAAAACTACAGCTAGTTATTATTTTATTTGTATTTTTATTTGTGGGAATGAGAGAAATGCATAAAAACCAAAAAAGACAATGCGTCAGACCATAACCATGATACACCAACCAAGATTAATTGTTTTAATAAATCTCATGTACACAAGTTTAAAAGGAAATATTATCATATTAAAAGTGTAAACATTATTAATTATTAAATGGAAATTAGAAATAATACTAAAAAATAGTAATAAAATGCAAAATTAGGAATAATACTAAAAATATAGTAATAAAATGAAAATTAGGAATAATACTAAAAAAATAGTAATAAAATGCAAATAAGCTAAGTGCAGAAGCCTACTACTATTTCAAAGGCTCTTGGATTCTTACTTATACAGCAAATCGTGCTTGCCAGCTTTACTCGATAAATTCGTCTTCTGGCTGAAACAGTATAAAATCTAGCTGACAAAATTTATCCTTTTAATAATATTAAAATAAATCTCTAAACACAAAAAAGGTCTGAAATTTGACAAATTGGGTTTTTGCCATTTGGGTTTTCTTCTGTCTCATCTGGTTTCT